AGGTGGGAGAGATGTTCGAAGGTTGGGTTTCGGATGAAAAATGGACAGGAAGTTCTCTTGTGCTTCTTAGAAGGATCAGAACCCTCTCCCGTGATAGCCCCTTAATATGACTGATTCTGGGGCAGCGGCAAACATCCAGGGTTTGGCTTCCCCCCGAGAATTGGCTTTGTTTCCAAGAAGCTGGTAAGATAAAGAAAAAGCAGCTGTGCCCTGTCCCTTGGCCTCTCAGGCCCCAGGGACACACGCGCAGATCTCCTCCGGGTCCCCGACCACCACGCTGGCCCTCCCGCCTGAGGGGGCTCTCAGAGCCCGATCCCACCGCCCAGTCGCGACGGCTTGCAAAGGAGAGCGGGGAGCAAAGAGCAGCCTGGCCTGAGCGCCCCCCACAGTCTGGACCCCACTGCTGAGCCCACCCACGGCCCAGCCCCCTCTGGCCTGCTGTCCAGCCTGCCCGGCCGGCAGGGGCGCAAGTGTGGGAGCAGCGGGCCAGCCGTCCTGTCCTCCAGCCGCGCGGCACCACCTCGTGGCCACCCTAACCATCGCAGCTCCTCACGCCCACACCGGTCCACACTCAGCTTTAAAGGCCTGTGCTGACCGTCGGAGGGAGTTCAGGTCCGTGGAGCTTTTCCTGGTCTTCCCGATGGACAGCGCCCTGGTCCTCCCCCGGACCCTCCCTGGGGCCCCGGGCCCCTCTCTCGGGCAGTCCTCTCAGAACGTCCGAGGCCTCGCACCTGTATGCCACGCCCCTCGCAGGTGGACCGCTCCCCAGGCAGGGCTGCGCTGACACGCCAGGTAGCCCCACCTCGCTGGCGCCGGCCGCTCTGCATGTGGCGCAGAACCCGCAGGGAGTGACGTGGCTCGTCCTCCTCTTCACGTCACAGCAGAGAGGCGACTTCTCCCCTAAGTCCCCAGGAACCCCCGCCCACCCCCACCTCATGGTGCTTCGGGAACTTGGATTCTTTTGTCGCACTTAGTGCACCAGGTGGCAGCCGCCTCCTTACCTGCCGTTCTCACCCACGACGTGACAAACTCCTGGAGGAAAGATGAGCCTTTCGGTCGCCGTGGCCTAGACTCTCCAGGGCAAGTGGTGGCAGCTCAGCAGCTGGCGGGGGGCATGGATGGAAGCGGGGCCAGGGGGTGGGGGCCTTGAGAGATCCCTCAACACTCTGATACGTGCGCTGACCATGGAGTTCTGGGATGTTTTTGGAGGGAAATTAGCCCCAGCCACTTGAGAAGCAACACGGTGCTCTCGGCAGGGGCAGGGGTGGCTGGCCTTTGAAGGGACAATGTCTGCTCCCACGCGGTGGGGAATTTCGTGTTCCCCAGGCTCAGCCTGGCCCAGGACTTGGCAGGATCTCTGGGGCGGTCGTGTTCGTCACCCAGCCCGGGTGGGAGGGTGGACGGGTGGGAGGGGAACCGTTTTGGGAAAGATGTTGGGGAGTGTGTGTGTGTGTGATGAGTCAGGGCCACGGAGCCAGGAGCCTAATCTCTGCTCCCCTCTCTGTGGGGGCAGTTCTCACCCCTCAGAGGGGGTGGAGGGCCACCAACTGTCTTTGGAAAGTTTTCTTAGTCATAGCTTCTACCAAGTCAGCTGGAGCTTATGTAAGTGGGCCTTCGTTCTGCAGACGACAGGGCCCGATGGGTCAGAACGTCTGCCACCCCCACCCCAGCAGCACCTGCCTGTTCCAGCCCCTCGCACCCACCCGGTCAGGGGCTGCCCCTGCAGAAGTAGCACTCGGACGTCTGCGCCGACCAGGAAGGGGCTTAGGCCACCCTCCTGGGGCCACGGGGACGCCTGCCTTCAGCTCCTGCTGGCCCAGCACCAGGCAGGGCAGTGAAAGTAAAGGGGACCCCCAGAGCCCTCCGACTCCTGCACCCGCCTGAGTCGGAGCAGCGGGGACCCCAGGCGGGCCCCGTCTCCCCAGGGCGCTCGCTCTCCGGAGACACATACAGCTTGGGACTTCCTGTCTCCTCCAACCCCAGAGCCAACGTGTCCGTCGCGCCCTGAGTCCTGTCAGACACGGCCCCAGACAAGGCCTGCAGTGGCTGTAAACTGAGGGAGGGGAGGGGGAAGCAGGGGTGCCCTGGGGAGGCAGCGGAGTTCAGGGGCCTGTGGAGCGTTTGGGCCCTCCGCAGGCTTCCGCAGGGCGGCCGGGGGCGCTGGGAAAGCCTTGCCACCCTCTGCTCCTTGCTGGAAGGGAAGTGCTCTTCCTGTGCCTCAGGCCCAAGGGGCTGGGGCTGGAGCCTTGGGAGGAGGTGAGAAAATAAGGAGGGGTTTGTGTGGGGCCACACCGTCAGGCCCCCCCACAACCCGCACGCCCTCCAGGACAGGGGGAGTGACGTTAACCCAGGAAAGGGGATGAATTTCCTGACGGCCAGGGTGGCTGCTCTGGCCCAGTGGCCTGGGCGGCACCAAAGTTCTGGAAAGCACATTACAAACTCAGGCCTCTAGACAATGAGCACATCCTGGACAGAGTGAGGCCTGGCAGGAGCCTCCAGCCCCCTCCTCAGTGCGAGGGAGTTTCCTGGGGCCAGAGGCCGCTCTGAGGCCAGAAGGAAGGACCTCGAGGGGCCTGAGATTGGGTGAGACCAGCTGAGAAAGCGACTGGGGCCGGGTGGGGGTGGCTGTGAGATGGGGGCTCCCACGCTGGTGCCATACTGATCATACTGACCCCCAGATTCCTGGCCACGCTGCGAGGCACAGCTGCTGCAGGGGGCATGGGGACACCAGCTCCCCCTCTGCTCCGGGGCCCGGAGGCAGGGGGGGACACACGACAGAACTTACTGGGGCCCCTTGAGTGAAAGCTGGGGAGCCCCCAGAAGGGAAGGCAGGGACAAGGGAGGATTGCAAAGGAGGGAGGAGGGCCTGAAGTTCCCTCGACACTGCCGGGTGCCAGCCGGCTGCAGCCTCGGTGAAATTCTGAAGGGAGCTCCCACTCCCCGTCCTGGGCTTGCGGTAAAACCAGGGTAGGATCTGTTTCTACCTGCATACTCTGAGCCCCCAGTCCTGGAATTTCGGGCCCTCCTGCCTTCTCTGCATCTTGGGGACACAGTCTGTTAGGCTACACAGGGCTTGGGGAGGGGGTCCCGGAGCCCAGACCCAGGGCGCTCCGCGCTCACTGTGACCCACGTCCACGCGGCGCGGTCCTGGCTGGGTCTGTGTGCAGGGTCAGCCTCCTCTGGCAGCCTTCCTTCCCGGGGAGGCAGCCGTCCCTGCGTCTCTCTGGCCCTCGGAGAAGCTCCAGAAGGCGGCGGGGTCCCTCACCGCTCCGCAGAGGAGAGAGACTAGACAACAGAGCTGAGGTTGCGCCTACAGACACGGGGGCCCGGCCCGCCTGAGCGCTCCCGTCCCCACGACGCGGCCACTTCCGGAGGGGAGGCGGGTGCTGGGCTTCCCTCTGGAGGGTGTGCGGTGAGGACCCCGGGAGAGGACGTGTGGACAGCCATCTCGGCTCTGAGCTCTCGCCAAATGTCAGCTCTGGTTTTCACACACGACCGACCTCACGTGTCTGATCCTGTCTGTCCCAGACAGACTGCGAGTCCCAGCAATGCCGGCCTCCTGCTTCCGGCACCAGGAGCAGCCCGTGCTCAGCCCCACGTCTTGCCCATAAACGTCCTCCCACCTCCTGCACAGCAGGCGCAGCCCCCACCACCGAGGCCTGGCGGGTGCCGCCTCCTTCCCAGAGCCTTCCCTGAGCTGCTACCCCGCCCGCCTCTCTGCCTCCTGATTGCCGTGCTTCCAGCCGGTGCCTTGAAGGGTACCGTTGGAGTCACAGAATGATGGAGCCTGCCTGCTGGAAGAGCCCTTACGGGGGACCCTGTCCGGTGCTTTTAATCAGGGTGATAGGTAAGTAGCAAAGGATGGACCAGCATCCTTGGCTGCTCCCTGCAGGCATCACGGATCTGCCTTTGAATCCTTCCCAGCACCGTGCCCCGGGCTGCTGGCACCGGCCCGTCAGAAGTTCTACTGCCGTCTCCAACCCCGACAGCCAGAAGTCACCTGCTTCGGGCCCCAAGGCCCTGGCCGTGGCCCTGCTCTCACCCTCGCTCCCATGCCACACCGCTCCCCCTCTGTCTTCGGCTCTTCTCTGCCCACCGTCCTGCCCTCCCGATGAGGAGCGCGATCAGCTTGTGAGGGTGCGAATGACGGTGTCACCTGCCCCTGCCAGGGCCGCACAGCCCTGCCTGCCTGCTGAGGGCGTGGCCGCGGGGCCCTCCCCATCTCCTCCACCTGTCTTCAGCGCCCAGGTGAAGGCGCAGGGGGACTGGGGCTAACGCAGCTCAGTCTTCGTGCTGGTCCAGCCCGCCCAGGCTCTGGGTCCTCCCCTCCGTCCTCAGCAGGCCAGAGCTCCCATCACCGAGAAGCCACAGACATGCTGGGCGTCGGGGCCCAGAGCGGGGCTCTTCCCTGGGCCGCTTGTGTGCGGAGGGGCCTCTGTCCCCATCCGCCCGAGGGGCTGTAGGGAGAAGCAGGGAGAGAGCAGATGCCCAGCCCTCCGGCCCCGAGGCCTGGGGAGGGGTGTCCTGAAGGGGGTCCCGTGCCTGCGGGCAGAGTGGGAGGCATGGAAGGAGGGGGCAAGGCTGATGCTCAGTTTGCTGGAGGTACTTTTGCCCCACCTGGACTCCTGGAGGCCAGACAGTCTTTCTCCACCCCATCAGAGGCCTCAGGGACCCCTGACCTAACCCAGGACCCCTCCCCAGTCCCTCCCGGTCCCACGGCCACCCGGGCCCCTCTCACGGCGCCCTGCTCACCTGCAGGTCTGCAGAGGCTCCGAGCTGAGCTCTGCTGTCACGTCACAACTTGGCTGAATTTTCTAAGACTTGGATCTCACGGTGTCATTCCTGCCTCAGACGCACCGTCACCTGGCAGGAGGAAGGCCAGCTCCTTGCTGGGGTTCTCGATCCTCTGCACCATTTGCCTCTCAGGTTGCGTCGACCCTACCGTGTGGGGCATCCTGCCGCTCTGA